CTTAGGAAAGCCACCTGTCCTATTTCCTTTTCCTCGATTTGGATGTGGTCTGGTGGAATTTCGGGTGACCATCCGAGGGTCGTTTCAATATTAGTTATATATCATATATACATGTATTGACATAAAAGTACTTCCATATTCATACTTATCAGACCTCGTTAGTAAGTTACCATCGGGGTAACACGGGATCATACTACTACAATTTCTAGATCAACGAGTCAGTTCATTCAGGAGTCAATACTTATTACTAAGAGAACATATACAACGATACTAGAACAAGTAACATTATATTGCATATACACGAATACGTTAACAATTGTGATCCACTGTATGGGAGCATGTCTTAATTGACATGACCCGAGTTGTAGCCAGAGTCTCTTGGAGGGAGAGCGTGAGTTTGCGTATAGATCTATACTGGATTGACTATCCTACACCTCGCTGCTAGCTACAGTGGGACCGACAGGTCTGCGGGTGCCAAACGTCATACCTTATTTTTCGACTATACGTTGTCGATGTTACCAGTCGATAGTATGGTGCAATTTATCACACGATACCTTAATATAAACCCGGTTTAAGGTAGTTAGTACAGCAGTAGTTCATATAAAACAAAACTACCGTACTACAATAATTTACCCATTACATTTTGGTGATAACCTCACTTAAACTTTAATGTACAAACTATATTTTGTTAAATGATAGTTACACTTGGGAAATTACACACTTTTACATCAAACGAGCATACAAAACAGTTAAGCCTTGGTAGAGGGCTACTTTAACAGAAAATATAGGTTTTTCTGAGAGATTCAAACTTTTACAAACACTTACATACATTTACAACTCATACTTGCGACAGGTTCAAACGTTTTGATAACAAACCTCGACACTAAAATACTTATGAATTCACCAGCTTAATGCTGATAAACTCTTTCAAAATAACTTGTATTCTCAGGTCATCAGTAGACAGGTACCGATGCTAGCTTTTGAGAAGATGGAGCGCATTCAAGACTCATCATACTATTTTGATTTACATTATATTTTTGGTGTCTAAAACTGTACGGAACACGCTTGTATTAAAATTTTATATTTAATGCAATGGATGATGTTGTTTGCTTATTTACATTTACTGTGTTGTGATACTTTACATGACGTCCTCCACCCCAGAACGTTTCCGCCATTCTTGGTTTTGGGGTGTGACAAGGTAACAGAAGGAAGTCAAGTTCCAAATCAAAAACCAACATCAAATGTTATAATTTCAAGGAAAATGGGCACTTCAGAAGAGAGTTTACATGGAAAAAGGGAATAATGGTGTTAGACCAAGAAACAACAATGTTGGTGTGGTTCAAAGAAATTCTTATGAATGGGATGATGGTGAAGTTTTGACAATATGTACATCTAGTTCTGTTGATGCTTGTATCTTGGACTCTGGAGCACCATAACATGCGACATGCATCGTGAATGGTTCTACTCCTTAAAAGAGTGAAATGACATAGTAAAGATGGGTAATGATTGGGTGAGTAGTATCTAAGGCGATGACACAGTGCAAACCAAGATGCATGATAATATAGTCAGGAAACTGGATTGTTGGTTTGTCCCGGAGCTTCGAAAGAATTTGATTTCACTTGGCACTTTGGCGAATGATTAATTGAAATATTTTGGAGATGATGATTGGCTAAAAGTCAACAAGGGTACTCTTTTTGTGACATCCCCAATTTCATGTTCAGAAAAGATCAAGTCATTTATGCTGATTTAATATCAGAGTGTCCTTTTTGAAGAATAATATTGCAAAATTTATTCCCAAAAACATGATAAAGATATGATCAAAACATTTCCAAAGAAATATAGTTTTTTATAATGAAAATATTGGGATGTTATTGTCAATGCAGTACATAAGCATAAACAGAAATAATACAGGCCTTACAAACATCTATTATTCTACTGACCTATAATCCATAAATCTCTCATCTAATTATCACATATGTGCTCTCGTGCCACTACCTATAATACAAGAAACAGAGTGGTTCGGGCTTGGGATCCTAGTGAACATATAGGTTTTTCAACCCACAATAATTAAATTCTTTTAATTATATATTTTCATCAAGTCATTCAACCCGATTACCTATTCCCGATATACTCACTTTCTATCCCCTAAAGCATCAAATCCAGGGGACCTGTCATAAGGATCATCTTTGGGATAGACAATAATGTTTAGGGGATTCCTTAGTAGTATATATCAATAAAAGAACCATGGGGGGTAGAGTATACCTGGTGAACACTTAGTTCTAAAACACCCACATATTACGAGCCTGATAGCGTTCCACTGTACTGTCTAAAATAGTATATGGTCGTCATCTATACTCTACTAAACAACTATATCATCTTTAATTCAAGGCCTCTCATCATCTATCTCATCTTTCATCTCTCATCATCTATATCATATTTTATCTAGTCATCTCTACCCAATATTTTTATAGGTATATGAATACATATACACTTTGAATCAAGTAAAATATATATAAATCGTTCATCTAGCATAGATATCAGGAACACATATAATAGGCACATGTAGCATGTAATTATCTTAAATACTCCATATATATGTGTAAGATGAAAATAACTATGCATTCACATGTTAAATTCATGACTCGAAACTTGGGCAGCGCTTTGCTTCTAGCAACCGATTTTTCCTTTGACGTAACCTAGTATCGTTACCACTACATCTTATTTGATACTTCTATCAAATAAGGATCAGCCAGACAGGACAGTTGGGAGCTAAGACCATTTCGGCATATAGTCTTTTTGAAATCCAAAAACCAAGCCAACATGACCATTCTAGTCACCTCTTCCGAAAGTTGATCAATAAGTATTATTACTTGGAATTACTGATAGTTCTTATAACGACTATCAATTTAAGAGGGTGTTTAGCTTAGTTTTTGTGGGGCAAAAGTCCTTTTTGTAAAAGGACTTTTTGTAAATGGACTTTTACAAAAGTTGTTTTTTAAAATGTGTTTGGATTAGCTTTTGAATGGAAAAAGTCAAAAGTTAAAGTGTTTGGTTTAACTTGACTAAAAATAATATGTTTACATATTTACATTGATTTACTACTTTTCATATATTATTTTATACTTCAGTTTTTTTTAACACATATTATAATTTTGTAAACATTTTATTAGAAAATATAAAATATAAATTTCTTTTAAAATATTTCTAATTTTTTAGATTAAACCATGAAAATATTAAAATTACTACGTTCATACAAATTGTAAATAATTTATAAGATGATTTTTTGTATTAGACCATGACAATATTAAAATTACATTCATACAAATATAAAATATAAATTACGTTCATACAAATTAAAATATTTCTAATTTTTTGGATTAGACCATGACAATATTAAAATTACGTTCATACAAATTTTAAAGAATTCATTAAAAAATACCATAGATAATATTACATTCATCTTCACAATGTGATTATATCTTGTGCAATAATATTCTGCATCATTACCATATATAAATCATCATCGCTCGTGCGACGTGTACTTGGACCTTCTTCGTAAACATCACTACCGGTATCACCTCGTACGGGATTGTAGGATTCTTGTTGTGCCCTATTAAACGCTTCATCAGACCTACCAACATTTCTAATGTAGTTATGGATCGCCATCGATGCTATCATAATTCTCACTTGGTTCTTGTACTTGTAATTAACATGCATGTCTCTTAATAACGCCCACCTAGCTTTCCACACTACAAAAGTTTGTTCAATGATATTTCACAATAATGAGTGGAGATAGTTAAATTTCTCTTTCGGTCCACGAGGTTCACGAATAGTAGCCGTGTGTCCACGTCGAAAATCTGGTAAATGATAACGAATATTTGTGTCTTTGTATGGAGCAAGATACCCTCTCGTATTTGGATATCCGGCATCAACAACTTAATATTTATTTGTAAATCAAACAAACATTTATTATTCATTTCAAACAAGTAGTAAAAACATAAAACTTGTGTTCCAAAGAAAAAACTAACCACCTGTTGGATAGGGAAAATTAAGATCTGGTCTCTATAAGGTTTCATTGAAAATTCTTGTATCATGTGCAGTCCCCTCCCAACCGGCTCAAACAAATGTAAAGCACATGTTAAAATCACAAACAACCATTATATTTTGTGTTGCATATCCCTTTCAACCAATGTACTTCACTTCATCTTTTTGTGGAACCGATGCCCTGACGTGTGTCCCATCTATAGCACCAATGCAATCCCTTAAATTCAAAAATATATCATAAATAAATTATTTGTTAAAGTTTGACTACCAAGAAAATAAACATACCTTGAACATTGGATAATACTGAGGCTTATTTAATATATATTCAGGAACATTATCATTATTGTTTGCGTCTGGCTTGATGATGTCGGCACTCAGTTTTAGCACGGCTTCCAAAACTGTATGGAAATGTCTGTGAATCGTTTCCCCCGAATGATTAAAAAATTCTTGCACAAATCTATTGCTACACCCATGAGCCAAAGTCATCAAGAATATTCCTACAAACTCCTCAATATATACATTTCGTGTTTGTTGTAGCCCGTAATTTGTAGCAAGATCTATGCATAACTATCTAAAAACTGGTATGTTGAGTCTAAACATCTCATAACAACGTCTAGGATGGCCATTTAGTACCTCAGTAATAAACATGCGGCCTATGAGGTCTGAAGTGTGACATGGCGTATGTAAGTTACGAGCCAGTATTATCCCTTTCAAAGCTAATCCACATAATATTTCAAATTCTTTATCCTCTTCCACCCAACATTCTTCATTGTCATTGGATGAATTAGAATCATCACTATCCATCTGTCATAATACAAATAAAAAGATGTCAACCATTAACACATAATATAAAATGTCGATTACATAAAGACAAACAATAACACATAATATAAAATATCAAATACATAATGTCCAAGGACAACCCATAATGTCAAAACAAAAAACATAATGTCAAAGCATAGCACATATTGTCAAAGGATAAAACATAAATGTCAAAGCATAACACATATTGCTAAATCATTATTTCATAAGTAACTTAAGAAACTCCATCTTGGCTTCGTCGGTCGTTGGAAACATAAAAGCTTCACGATTTTGCTTTTTGGTGAAGACAAGCAATGCTTGTGAAAATTCATTGGACCCTTCACGAAAATCAGGAAACTTGATGACAATGGCCATGCAATCTGCTATTGTTGGGGAAGGATTATTTTGTGGAAAAGTTTGTGTGCTTTTTGATGATATGGCATCCAATAAAGCATCCACTTTTTCTTCATAAATTGAACTTTTACTCTTGGTTGGACAGTTGTTGGAAACAGACTTAGTCCTCTTCCTTTTACTTGAACTACTTTCATGGAGACTAGGAAAAAGAGGCTCATCATCATCTAAATTGATTTCATCACTATCTCCTTTGTCCTCCATATTTTCTTTGTTTGGATTGCTATTGTTTTGAAATTGTAATGGAGTCATAGTCTGATCTCCAATGGCAACAGAATCCTGAAATAAAGTAGCATATTTCTCATCAAAGATGCTCAAATCTGTGTTCCTAAATTTGGCATAATCTTTATTCTCCTGCAAGACAAAAAGATATTGTAAATCAAATATGTTCAATCTATATGCAATCATACCTTAAAATAATTAAAAAGAATAGTAATCATACCTTTATTTTCTCCTCCCACCACTCAGGTGACGCATCTACTAGGCTTCTCGTCCCACCAAGTCCGGTTTCAAGCCTCATTAAGCGTTCATAAAGCTTCCACTCCTTTTTCATGTTCTCCCATTTGTTTGTTAGTTGTTTTTTTTCAAAGTTGTAACCTATTTTATCCTTAATGCGTTTTTGTATATTCTCCCACCCAACTTTATCAAAGGGGGTACCGGGTTTATGGCCTTTTTTTTTTCAATCAAGCACGAATCAAGAAACACCATGAAGTTAAGATTATCCCACCCAAATTTTGGTTTTTTCATTTTTAAAGATGTTTCACAATCAACAATTGTAGTGTTGTTTTCATCCATTATCTGTGAATTACGTATAGTATCAACATTTAAACAACAAACCAATTTCATTAACCTTCCTAAATGATTTCATTAATTTATCAAAATTCTAATCAAACAAGAAAAAATAGAATATCACAGAATATCAATTTCACAAATTGGTTACCTGTTAACACAAATATCAACCCTGAACAAAAAATTTCATCAGCTTCATATTTCATCAATTTCACTAATTATTAATCCATATTTCATCAAGTTCACTAATTATTAATCAATATTTCATCCTATATTTCATCAATTTCACAAAGGTATGTTAATCACAGCATATCAGTTTCAGAAATCGGGAGGAACAAATCACAGAATAATCACTATCAAATAAGGATCAGCCAAGCATAACAATTGGGAGGCAAGCCCATTTCAGCATTTAGCCTTTTTGAAATCCAACAACCAAGCCAACATATCCATTCTAGTCACTTCTCCTGTAAGTAGATCAATCAGTATTATAACTTGGATTTACTAATAGTTCTTATAACGACTATGAATTTAAATATAAACGACCCCAAATGAGATAGAGTGTAATTTAACTTAAATAGATTCCCTAGACAAAGTCTAGAAATTGCACTAGAGGAACTTCGGACTGATAGCTACTAAGAGAATCTTGGACCAAAAGAAGTAGAATGAGAGAGAGAGAGAGAGAGAGTTGTAGGGGAGACATGGGGAAAGTTATGAGGATTTAACAACTATTTATAGGCAAAGATCATGGGATGTGTGACGGGCAAGGTACATGCGCACCATTCACATGGTTGATGTGCTTGCCCTGGTGTGGTTCCATGTGTCGGATTTTAGCTGGTGCTACGTGGTGGCTTCTAGAACATCATGCACGAGGCGCACACGCATGCAACGATTTTAGAATTTCAAAATTATGTAACTTCTTCGTACAAGCTCAGTTTTTGATGTTCTTTATATCCACATATAGCTATCAATGAGATCTACGGCTTTCATTTAGACTCCGTTGGCTAATTTTTAATTTATTTATTTCACACTGGCTTAGAATATTAAAGTGCGTATAAAATGCATAACTTTGTCATCTGATGTCCATTTCCTACTGTCTTTATATCATTGAACTCCTATTAACGAGATCTTCAATTATCATTTAGATCATTTCGGCTAAAAATTGACCGATCTAAAATTCAATTTTTGAGTTGTATACTTCTACGTTGAATCTTAGAAAAATCATAACTTCTTCTAATGAAGTCAAATTTTGATGTTCTCTATATGTATGCTCTCGGTTTAACGACTACTATGAATTTTTTTTAGATCACTAAGGCAAAAAAGTTTTTTTTATCAATATCTCACTTTTTACGATACCCAGAATCATGCCGATTTAATCGTGAAACTTCAACGGATCATAATTTCTTTGTTATAAGTCTGATTTAAGCGTTCATTATATCTCTGGAATCCTTGTCATGAATTCTTCAACTTTCTTCGAGGATATTAGGTCTAAGTATTACTCTATTTTAAAAAAATTCTTTTTTATTACATCAAATAGGTTACAATTGTCAACCCTAACCATTACATCATTTTATTAATACCTAGCAAGAAACATGGGCGTTACACTTGTATTTATGATGGGAAAGATTAATCTTTAAGGGATTTATATATTGAAAGGCTCTATGGTTAAAGGAAGAGTAACTGTATCCCAATCATTGGATCAGTATGTGTGACAACCCGAAGTTGTCCATCGCCGAAACCCATTCCGTCCGTAAAACATGTCTATAGTGGTTCGTTCCGATTCCGTTTTTGGGCTAAGTTATTTAAACTTATAAGTTTGTTTTAATCTTATAAGTGCTCAAATCCTTTAGAAACTCATGAAATTAGCCGAAAATCATTAAATTAAAAATCTCCAAATTCTATCACGCCGGGTTACGATAGCTTAATCGGGTGCGACCAAAAGCCCCGTTTAGCGTCGGTATCGGGTAGAATTCCACCGTGTCCCGAACTTAGGACCTATTTAAGGCTCAAAAGACTTAATTTGAAGCCTTTCCTCTCTCTCTCTCTCACTACTCTCTCTCTAACCTCTCTCCTCTAACTCAAGATTAAGGTCCAAAAACACCAAATTCAAGCCCTAAATCTTCAAGGTAACCACCCTAACTCCTAGTATAGCACATTAGACCTTCAAATTCGAGTTCAAATCATGGAATAGGACCAAAATCATGTGTTTACGGCCCTAGAACACCCATGGGCGGTGAACACATATTAAAGGGGTTTTTATGCCCTTAAACCCTTCCAAAACACCATTGAGGCTTAGATATGACCTGTAGAATATTGGAATTGGCCTTGGAACACCTTGAACATCAAATTAGAGGAGTAAACTTGAGTTTACTGCCCAAGAACATGCTTGGGTCGTAAACTCAATATCTTGGGGAGTAAACTCCTTCTAATGTGTTAAAATGCCATTTACACACACCATAAGCCTTGGGATAAATTCTAGAAATGACTAACAATCAAGATTTGGACCTTAAAACATATTAAAACACTCTTCCAAGGAGTTCACGTCCATGAGGTGGTTCATGGGTCGTAAACTCCTAAATCCATGCTAAAAGTCCCCCAAAAATTCATACAAGGCTTGGAAAAATCATTTGGAATCACATGTGATTGATTAAGGGACTAAAACATTAAGGTTTGGGTGTGAGGGGGAGTTTATGGCTGTAAACTCCATGTTTACTACCGTAAACTCCAATAAAGGGTCCTTAAGTGAGTTTAAATTCATCCCAATGCCTTAGATGCAATCCTAGCTAAATTATCCATGAGTTATGAAACCATTTAGCACCCAAAAACACCTTCCATGAGTTCACGGACGTGAAATCATGTGGATGGGGTGTTTAAGGCCGAAAAATCCTCTATGAGTTTACTCTTGAAGAGTAAACTCCATATCCAAGCCATATGTGTCCTCAAATGCCACCTGGGTCCCTCCAAACGCTTGTAACAGAGTGTTTTCGTGATTAGAAGTGTTTGTCCTTAGCTATTAAATTATTCAAGTCCTAATTAGATACAAATGTGTATCTTTTTATAATACATAGGAATCTTGTGTGTTTGCAAACCCAGAACTGACGTTTATCCAAACCGACGCGTTCCTCAACCGGTGAGTTCATACCCCTACCATTTTTCAAATGTTTTCACTGTTTTTAAGGGGGATACAAGAAAAAGTATAAGGAAATCGTATACTCAAACTTATTATTTTCAGTTCAATTGTTTTCATTCTGTATGTTTGAATATCAAAAACTGTGTTTACCAAATAGTTCGAATTACGAAGTTAGCTTTCAGACTAATCATAGATTTTTTGATAAAATGCTACAATCTAAATTATATTTCATAATCTACGAATAATTCATACTAATCATCAATTAAAACTAATATGAATACGAATACGAAAGTACAACTAGGAATAGAACGAATACGAAAGTACAACTAGGAATAGAACGAATACGAAAGTATAACTAGGAACAGAACGAATAGGAATACTAAAATACGAATGTGAATACGAATACGAATAGGATTAGGATTAGGATTAGGAATACGATTGAGAATGCGAATACGAATACGAATACGAATAGTATTAGGAGTAGGAATAAGGATACGAATACGACTGCGAATGTGAATACGAATACGAATACGAATATGAATACGAATAGTATTAGGAGTAGGAATAGGGATACGAATACGACTGCGAATGCGAATGCGAATACGAATACGAATACGAATAGGATTAGGATTAGGAGTAGGAATACGAATGCGAATACGAATACGAATAGGACTATAAATATAAATACGAATACAAATATAAAATATAAATATGAATATGATTAAGAATAGAAATACGAATACAAAGGCACGCATCTAGGTTCATTCAAGTGTAACACCATTAGGATATCAGAATACATAGCTAATATAACAAGTATGAAAGGTAATCAAACATTACATCGAAATTCAATAACTAAACTTACTTTTAGGAAAATATAGGATTTTCCTGGGATAACAATTGTTCATAACCAGAATCAAGTAACATAACAGTTAATCAAGCTTTACATATAAGAAAATATGGGATTTTCTTAGATAGTAAACTTTTCAGAAAACCAAAAGAAAACTCGTACATTTTCAGAAAACAAACATCTTATGAACTCACCAGCTTTATGCTGATTTTCAAATTGTTTGTATTCTCAGGTCAACATTAGACAGGTACCTAGCGATCCTTTTGGAGAAGACGGAGCGTACAGAAGACTCGTCTATACTTTTGTTCATATATATACTATGTATCACAAATGTACAACTTTACTTTTGAACAAATGTAAACTTTGATATGTAATGTAATGGTTGTTTACTTTGCTTACTATGTGCATTGGATTTGATACTCAACGTGGAGTCCACCCCGGAAATGTTTCCGCCTTAGGTTTTCGGGGTGTGACAGTATGCTGATGAAATTATGTTATGGAAACATAAGTTGGGAGATATGAGCGACACTGGGTTATTTGGTGGAGACGCAACTGGAAATGCTAAACCTAATGAAGCTTTTGTTCAAGAGATACAACACAGGGTGAAGTTCAGTTCGGTTCAACACTCAAGAAAGGATATCCTCGAGTGTGTTCACTCAGATTTATGGGGTCTTTCATATGAAGTCTTATGTTGGATGTCAATACTTTGTGACTTTTATCGATAATTACTCAAGGAAAACCTATGTGTACTTTCTGAAGACAGAGGAAGAAGACGGAGTGTTTGGGAAATTTAAGGAGTGGAAGACTGTAAGTCCCTTCTTCAATGTATTCAATGATTTTAATGGCGATCTGTTACATAAGATTCACACACACACACACACACACACACTTGTTCTCTCTACTTTTTCTCTCTAGAACATATGAATGTCACAATGATGATCCTCACTTGCTTGACCGAAAATGCCCCCCACCCCTTCTCTAATGCTCAAGTCTCGCACACAACACTCCCCTAATGACTATTTATACATACGAACTAAATCCCAAGACCCAAACCCAATACATAGACCGAAATCAAATTTGATTTCCTTCCAAGCTACAACAAAACCCAAGATGGTTTTTGGTCCTAGACCGAAAACTATAAATGCTTAGAAAAGCAAAGTATAAATCATATTTTAGACCTAACAAAGACTATGGTTGAAAAACATACTAGGGACCAAGTTAATTCACTCGGAACAAAAAATAGGT